ATCCCCCGTAGCTGCCCCACTGGGGCACCTTCCCCACCCTCTGCTCCCCACCTTCCCCACGCTGGGCACAGCAGACAGTGTGGCAGAGGAGCCCCTCAACAGCCTTGGGTGCTGAAAGGAAGGGTCGGATCTGGGACCACTGGGTTCAGGGTGCCTGGGGACCCTGGCAGCACCCCTGCCCCCACCGACAAACGCACCGAGCTCTTGGACAGCTTCTGAACCTATTTATTTAGGAGGACAAGGCGTGATCCTGGTGCTGGGCAGCAGGTCTGGCAGTGCCAGGCTGGGGAGGACAGGAAGGGAGGACGTGGAGAGGGGACCTGAGCCTGTTTTCCACCAGGTCTGGAGGACACATGGCCCTGGCCTTGGTCCCTTCAGCTGCCGGGAAGCAGAACAGCCGGACAAGTGGTTAGAGTGGGGGAAGCTGACATGACACAGAGCCCCGAGGCAGGTGGGGGCTCCCGTGGGGGCTGCGAGATCCTGCTCAGCCCAGGCCACTCCAGGAGGGACACCTCTTCCCCCAGCCACACTCACCTGATGGCCTTGGTGCACTGATCTGTTGAAAAGCAAAGAGGGGGTGAGCGTGCCACGGGCAGCACCCTGAGCCCCTGCACAGTGTCCCCATGCCACCCTGTGCCCTCCTGGCACCCACCTGACTTGGGCAGGATGGCCAGCATGTCCTTGGCCAGGCCCATGGCAGGGAGGAGCTCTTCAAACTTCTGCAGAAGCTGGGGGCTCACGTCCTGCTCCCTCGCTGCGACCAGACACCCAAAGTGAGCCCCACACTGGGGCTCCACGGGGCAGCAGTGGGACCCCAGGGAAGGGCAAAGGCAAAGCCTTGGGAGGTGCAGGGTAGACACCGGGCACCCCACGGCTGCCTGGGCTGGCAGCAAAGGGGCACAAGCCCTTGGGGATGAGTAGCCCACCTCCCTGGGGTGCAGCTGGTGGGGATGGGGCTCTGCAGCTGGGCTGGCACACTGCAGAGGGGCTCTGCTTCAAACCCCAACCAGCTGGCAATATTTTTTGGTGCAAGGTTTCATCTACCCCAAAATGAATTCCCTGGGTGTGCCCGGATGCCCGGGTGCCAGCATGCTGGGTGCCAGCACGGTGGTCTGTGGGGATGGTGAGGGGCCCAGCCCCTGCCCCCCAGCTGGTGTCCTTGTCCCTCCCCAGGCAGCCCTGTGTGCCCGTCCCCATCCTGGCACCCACTGAAGAGCTGCAGTGCAATCCTGGGCTTCTGCTGGCCGTGCTGGACCTCGTGCACGATGGCGTAGTGCCCGTAGTCCGTCTCCACCACACGCAGGTCCCTCTGCTCCTGCACTGCTAAAGGACCCAGAGGGTGCCTGGTTGGGCACAGCCCAGGCAACCCCGCGGCCCCTGCGGGGGCTCATGGCCCCAGCCCCACGTTTGCCCAAGGAGGTGCCAAAGGGGACTCCTCTGCAGAGCTGGGTGCCCACCCACAGCACGACCTCGCACCGAGCCATGGAAGCAGAGGGGCCAAACCCTCCTGCTGCTGCTGCCCAGTCAGGGGGCAAGGGTGCTGCCCACCCGCCACCTCAGGGTGTGCACAGCTCCCATCCTCCCTGCCCGCACATACCCACGTAGTGCCCTGCTTGCCCGCGGGGCTGGAGGAGCAGCTCGAACTCCTGGCATTTGTCCAGCCTGGAAAGGGAGAATGGAGAGAACAAAGGTGGCTGGATGCCACGGGGGAGGTGAGCGGGGAGGAGCAGGGGTCCCATCCTGCCCGGGGGCACAGGCAGGGCTGGGCAGCGGGCCTGTGCAGGGACGCTCCTCACTCGGCTGCCTGCGTGGGGACAGCAGTCCCCCAGCCCCAGTGGGACACAGCGAGCAGGATGGGCACTCACAGGGGCCAGACAATCTTCACGGCCAGGTCCCTCTCCGGTGTGAAGCTGATGGTGATGAGGGATGACTTCATCCCATCCTTCATCTTCAGGAACACGGAGCAGTTGGACGCGGCGGCTGCGACGTGCCACGTCCCTGCAAACTGCACCAGCACGTCGCCAGGGGGGTCTGGGGAAGCCACGGGGACCTGCCCCTGGCCAGGGGACCGGCACCCTCCGGGGGGGCGGGGCCACCCCGCC